ATAAAGATAAACCACAAACACTACCACTTATACCTTAACCCATTTACAATGGGTGTCATATATGACACCCAGAAAAATAAACATTGCCGGGTGTCCCGCCAGTGTGATGCTGGATCGGAGCTTGTGCTCTGATTCCGTTGCGAGCAGTGGCTAGCGCACAGATTTTGAAGCCACCCAGAAACCATTATTTTCCGCTTCAAAATATAATGTTACTCTTGGATTAATCCTTTCCCTCGTCCCCAACAACCAACCATACATGTGTGATTTGCACTTAGCTTCCTACACATTAGATATTGAGAATGAGATTGTTACGAGAAAAGTATATCATCTCTAACCACTTGCTGGCGGGGATGGAATGTGCGTACCGGCCATGCCCAATGTGTGTTTAATTTAGTCGCTGATTTTACATATAGATGGCTCCACAAGTACCAAGTCACCACTGAGCCAATTACGAGAACTACCTGGCTCACCGGTTTACCATTTTCCTTGATTTCTGATAATATTTCTAGTATCTGATACTGCTGCTAGTAATGTCAGTAAGAATAGAGTAGTTATAACATTAATAACAAAAAAGCAGTGTTGATATTGATAACATTAGTAAAAAAAAAAGAAAACATTTTTCTGCTATTTCAAGGAAAGGTGAGGTCACAAGATCTACTGATTGACTCCTTTGTGGCTAAGCATTGGCATAACTACCTATGTGTAGAAACATTTAACAAAATAATATTAAAGTGAACGGAACATTGTCACATCAGCATTGGATTAAGATATCCATTGTGTAAGTCAAAATTCCCTGTTGGTGGGCTCCACCATAAATTTATGGTATTTGCTGAATGAGATAAATTTGGAAATGGTGCTGAACAGTGGTTTCTGGGTAAACATTATGATTTTGTGTTTCAAATGAATCTTACCTATCATTTCTATCACAAGCAAAGCATATTAATGATAAGGTCCCCAATAGCTTGAGAGGGCATGATAAGTATCGGGCAGATTATGGGGTAAAGGCAAAGGTTGAGATAGACCATTCAATAAATCAGCTGTTTTGTGTACATTCACAGTAATTAGAGGACTTTTACCCCTTACCCCCCACACCTGGTCTTCAAAATTTTCTCCCATAGAGCTTGGGCAAATACATTTTAGTGATGCACATATGGACTGTACTTGGGGCTTTGGCTCCTAACTACACTTTCAGGGGGGACTGCTACCCTCCTGTCCCTTGCTTGATCTACAAATTCTTCACCTCATGTTCTGCCAGGTCAAAGCTTGAGCAAAATATCTGTCGTACCATTTGCAAGAATTTAACGCCGTAACCAGTAAATCCAGGATGCAATTTGTCAGGATCCTCCCTATTGCTGTTGGCAGGTATTGAGGCCACTATCCACAGCTTTCCATAATTGCCTTACCAATTTGCTTAAAAAGGTAAAACAGTTTTTCCAGCAGTTTATACAGCCAGTCCATGACGGAACTTTTTTGAATATCAACTGACTTCCTTGGGTTCAGCTTTTGTTATCACATGATTGTTTTATTACATTTCTTGTTAGCTCTAGCTGATTTGAATTTATAGCGGAGAATTATGATTATTGGCTTTTCGTGTGTGTGTGTGTGGTGTGTGTGTGTGTGTGTGTGTGTGTGGTGTGTGTGGTGTGTGTGTGTGTGTGTGTGTGGTGTGTGTGTGTGTGTGTGTTGTGTGTTTATATATATATATTATGTATTTATGTATGCAGGCCTGTAATATGTATGTAGCATTTATGTATGTATGCATTTATGTATGTATGCATTTATGTATGTATGCATTTATGATTATGCATTTATGTATGTATGCATTTGTGTATGTATGCATTTATGTATGCATGCATTGTGTATGTATGCATTTATGTATGTATGCATATATGTATGTATGCATATATGTATGTATGCATTTATGTATGTATGCATTAATGTATATATGTATGTATGGATATATATTATATATATATATAATATATATATATATTACATACATACATATATATATATATATATATAATATATATTATATATATATATGTATGTATGTATGATATATAATATATATAATATATATATTATATTATATATATTATATATACGTTATATATATTAATATACGTTATATATATTATATATTTTATATAATTATATTATATTATTATATATATTTATATATATATTTATATATATTATATTTTATTTATATATGTATGTATATGTATATGTGTATATTTATATTAATGTATGTATATGTATATATATGTATATTATATTAATGTTGTATGTATGTATGTATGTAATGTATGTATGTACGTACGTACGTACGTACGTACGTACGTACGTACGTACGTATGTTGTATGTATGTATGTATGTATGTATATATATATATAATATATATATATATATTATATATATATTATGTATATATATGTATATATATGTATATTTATAATGATGTATGTATATATATATTTATGTATATATATATATATATATATATATATATATATATATATTTATGTATATATATATATATATATATTTATATATATATATTTATATATATATATATATATATATATATATATATATATATATATATATATATATATATATATATATGTATATTTATGTGTAATATATATTTATGTGTATTGTATATTTATGTGTATATATTTATGTATATATATATATATATAATATATTATATATATTATTATGTATATATAGATATAGATATAGATATATAGATAGATATGTATGCATATAATATATGTATATATATATGTATACATATATATGTAATATATGTATATAATAGATAGATATAATTATAGATATATAGATATATAGATAAATATCCATATGTGTGTGTTGTTTGTTATGTAAGCATTTTTGTGTATGTATGCATATGTTTATATATTATATATATATATAATATATATATATTATATAATATATATATATATATATATATATTTGTGTATGCATGCATAAATTTATGTATGTTTGTATGTATGTAAGCATTTTGTGTATGTATGTAAATGTATATGTATGTAGCTAAATACATTTGTGTATATATGCATACATATTTTTGTATGTATGCATTTGTATTTATGTGTATGTATATATGAATGTGTATGTATGTATGGTATGTCTATAGGTATATGATATATAATATATATATATGTAATATATATATATGCATATATATACATATATATATATATATACAAATATAAACATATATATATATATAATTTTTTTTTTTTTTTTTTTTTTTTTTTTTTTTTTTTTTTTTTTTTTTTTTTTTTTTTTTTTTTTACACGGATGCACCCATGCACGCACCCACGCGCGCGCACACACACACACACACACACACACACACACACACACACACACAACACACACACACACACACACACACACACACAACACACACATATTAACATATTAACATACTTTTTTAAGGCAAAAGCTTAATGTATGATACCAATTGAAAAGTTCCCTATTATTATTGGTATTTTTTAATATGTGTACTGGTAACTTAGAAATGATTAACAATGATTTTTCTAAAGAATTTGTTTGCATTGTTATCAGTAGTCTTACTTAAATAGTGGTACTATTTTTAAATGTGTCTTAAACTTCTGGCACCTTTACATTAAGAATAGGGCATGTTTGCATGGAATCAATGATATGTAGTTTTGAATATATTTTTCTACATGGTAAAAATCAAATTTGTCACCTCATGCTAATTCAAGATTTCTCTCATTCCAGAAGCTGATTTTCCATCCAGAATAACAAATGACAGGAGGCAAAATGAGTTCGTATTTGGAAGACTGTTCGGGATCGGCAGCATCTCACACCAAGCAAGGAGTAGATGACAGTGACATCTACGGTGACCTGGACTTGATGGCAGCAGCACAGCAGTCGCAAGATGCATGGTCTGTCGGCAGTGATGTCAATGATGCAGACATATACCAGGAGATGGGTGTGCAGCCCATTGATTACACAACGGAGGAGGGAAGTGTTGATAACTCTGCAGCCTATAAAAATGCTAAACAGGGCAAACCGGCAAGCCACCAGGGAGCCAGTAGTATTGACTTTGAAAATCTTCGGAAACTATTACAAGGAGATCTGAGTGGGAAATCCAGTGGATGTGATGCGAAAGAAAATCAACATGTGAAGGAGATTCATGATTGTGAAACTAATAGTAATGTGAAAGAGACCATGAGAGATGGCAGAACAAAACAGGAAGGTGCAAGGAATGTTACAGCTGAAAAAGTTGCAGAGAAGTTCCAGGAAGGAAGTGATGAAAAAGGCAGTGGAAGATTAAATCCAAGTAAGGTTCTCACAGAAAATAAGCAACATGGTGCTAGAGCAAAAATGCCCCCAAATGTCAGTGGTTCTGAAAATACCAAATCGACATCTGCAGAAGGTACTTCAGCACAAAACAGAGACCTGCATTTTGTGCTGTCTATGTTGTGTAAAAAGAATTCCAGTACGGAAGATTTAGTGCAAAACAGTGTAGCAGATCCAGGTAAGACAGGACCAGTTACTGGTGTAAATGTAAGCAATTCCTTAGGGTGCAGTGAAAACCCCGACATTCCAACGGATTCTCACAGGAAACCAAAAAAAGATACTGACACTCAGAAGGAGGCTACTGGCACTAGGACACAAACCCAAGTCTCAGAAACAGGCACGAACAGACCCAAAAGATTACCTGCTTCAAGTTTTATGTCCATTGAAACAAGTCCGAGCCCAAAGAAGAGTCCGTCAGAAAAGCAGAGCAAAGAAGCAAGTAAGGCAGACTCACATTGGGACCTCTTTGAAGATGTCATGGTTGCTAGAAGTGATGAAAAGGTAAGGTTAAGTGAAGAAGAGAGGGAGAGAACTTGAGGGAGGGGTGAGGGCGGAGGACACATGCACATGCACATGCACTCATACACACCACACCCACACTCATGCACACACACACACACACTCTCTC